CCTAATTGGATTTGCAGACGCTTCCTCTAAAGCTTTTGGTTGCTGTCTCTACGTACGTATTGTAAAACCAGATGGAAATGTGGTGGTCAATCTCCTATGTTCAAAATCACGTATTGTACCTCTATCAAAGGTACTTACCATACCCCAGTTAGAGTTAAACGGTGCTCTCCTTCTTGCCCAGTTGGCAAAGAGGGTAACTAAGGTTCTCAATTTTAGATTTCCACATTCTGTGGTTTTATACAGTGACTCCCAAATTGTTGTTGCTTGGATAGAGAACGGCAGAGCAAAAGGTAATACTTATGTCAATAATAGAGTTCAACAAATTCTTGGGCTAACAGAGAAGTTTTCGTGGCACTATGTCCGCACTAATCAAAACCCGCCGTAGTAGGTAGAGCCGCAAAGTTTGCAGGCGAATGACTTGTGGTGGCATGGGCCACAATTTTTATTAAATTCAGATTTTATTAAACAACAAAATGAAACTGCCAAGTTTGATTCATGCTATGTTCATGACCCAGTAGAGGAAATTCCTTGCCTGGTACAAAAACTAGAGCAGTCCTTATCATTTGATTTGTTAAAAAAGTTTTCTAGTTTAAATAAACTACAAAGAGTTGTAGCCTATATTTACAGATTCTATAATAATTTATCTAAAAAGATTTTGATAAAAGATCCTAACTTGACTCCTATAGAGTTACAGTCAGCTCTCTTCATAATTATACGCTGTGTACAAACACTTGAATTTTCAAAAGTTATTGCTTCTATAAATAGTAATGAAAAAATAGTATCAGGTATTGCTAGCCTATATCCTTATATCGATAGTAAAGGGTTACTTCGCGTAGGTGGTAGGCTACAATATGCTAACATTTCGCAAGAAAAAATGCATCCTATAATATTACCTAAAAACAGTTTTATAACTTCTTTGTTAATAGAAAGAGAACACCTTCGTTTATTACATGCAGGTCCTAGGCTTGTACTTAGGTCTCTGTCACAGAAATTCTGGATAGTGAATGGCATACGAGAGGTTAAAAAGGTACTTCATAAATGCATAAAATGTGCTCGACTTAAAGCTAACACTGCTAGGCAACTTATGGGTTCTCTTCCTGTAGAGAGAGTCACTTCTTCTAGGCCCTTTCAGCACGTCGGCATCGACTTTTGTGGTCCATTTGATATTAAAGTAGCACGAATTCGCAAACCACTTGTAACCAAAGGGTATGTCGCGGTTTATGTATGCTTCTCTACCAAAGCTATACATTTGGAGGTGGTGTCAGATCTGACTACTGCGACTTTCTTAGCATGCTTCGATCGTTTTATCTCAAGACGAGGCATGCCCTCTAAGGTATATTGTGATAATGCCAAGACCTTTAAGGGTGCTGACAACCAGCTAAAAGAATTATACAATTTGCAATCATTGAAGTCTCATAGAGACTCAGTTTATAATTATTGTAAAAATAATTACATAAAATTTATGTTTATTCCTAGTTACTCCCCTGAGTTTGGTGGTCTTTGGGAGGCCGGGGTCAAGAGTGTAAAACACCATCTCAAGCGGGTTGTTGGGAATCTTTGCCTGACCTATGAAGAGTTCAATACTGTAATGGTCCAGATAGAAGGTGTTTTGAACTCTCGACCTCTGCTTTCCAACCCCAGTGAAGGTGGATACTTGACGCCAGGACACTTTCTGATTGGCACTGCTTTGACTACTTACCCGGATATTAATTAATTGGAAATTCCAGTACAAAGATTAAAATTATGGAAAATAATTTCACAAGTTAAACAACACTTTTGGAAGGCATGGTCTTCTGACTATCTTACTCAATTGCAAAGCCGTCCCAAGTGGAAGTATGGTAAACCTAACATTAAGGTAGGTGACATTGTACTCGTTAAAAATGTTAATACTTCACCTTTAGAATGGCCTATGGCTATCGTTGTAAATATATTTCCTGGACGGGACAATAATGTTAGAGTGGTCGAAGTCAAATATAAGAACAAGCTTTATAAAAGATCTATTCATAAGTTGTGTCCTCTCCCAATGGAGAGTGATCAGTTGTAAATTAAAAGTAATTTCTTTGGAGTCTTTGAATACATTTAAAATTAATTTAAAATGTTTAAAGTACTTTACTTAATTTAAAAATATGCCAACATAGATATATGTCAAAATGTATTATTTAAAATTTATACTTACTTTTAGATATTCTACATACTTGCCATTGTCTTGTTATATAACTTATAAGGTTGTACTCTATTTAGTTCTATAACTTAAACATTTTCATGTATTTGCCAATGTCTATTGTTCTGTAGGGCAATTGTATTCATTATTCTGCCCGCCCAACTATGTTCAGGATAGAACATATATTTTAAATGGCAATGATTTGCCACTTTATTTTGTGTGAATTTTATTTTTGTTACTTGGTAACACCTTTTTTTTGAATGACGGAACGACTATGAACTCTGCCGCTTATTATATTGTTGGAGTAATTATTAAACAGTTTTCTATAAATTACTGAATTTTAATCATTAATTATTCTTAACAACACCTATAATTGATTTTGTAACTGCGCCTTGACCCTAAGTTTAAATTTAGGTTAGTAAAGCCAAAAGTATCAATTATTGAGCCATTAGCAGCGGTTAGCTGGAAGTCTGTCTTGGCTCGACGTTCACTAAGCGCAGAAAGTGGGTAGACGCACAAATCACTACAAGTATCTATTAAAAATTGCGTATTGCTGCTGCGATATGAGCCCGTGCTCCGAACCTCACATAGTACCAGCATACGGGTTGTTTCACGTAACTGGAGTTAGATCGCTTTCTATTATGCGAGCTTGATTGCTGACGGTCGCGTGGCCTTCCGCGTTCAGCGGAACAGCAAGATTCACGAGTATGTTCCTTTAATTTTTAAGTGAGGTGCTGCACCATCTTCTTCAGCTCAGCAATCTCGTCAGACTGCCGGGCACTACCGTTCGAGGCGGCTGAGACGCTAGGTGGTGATGTCAGCTCCTGTATGCTATCAGCGAGGTCGGCTAATTGCTCCAGTGAGTGTGAGGTCTGGGACGCCAGCACAGTCTGGACACCGATGGGTAACTGGTTACTCCAAATCTGTTTCACTATTTCTTCCGCAGCAGATGATCCGGCTAAGTCCTGAAGGTGTCGCAGGAATTGGGATGGCTTGCGATCACCAAGTCTCTTATGCGTGAGCAACTGCTTCACCTTCATTTCGTGCGAAGCTGACAGGCGACGAAGAAGCTCAGTCTTGATCTTCTCGTAACGGTTCCTAGCGGGAGGATTCAGTATGATGTCCTTTACGGTTTTTGCATACTGAATGTCGAGCCTAGTCGTAACAGAGCTAAACTTCACGGCATCTTCTGTGATACGAAGACTCTCAAATTGGCTCTCTAGAAGCGCGAACCAAAGCTCCGGTTCCTCGGGTGAAAATTTTGCGACCTTTAGTACGACTTTAGTCTCACGACGGTCAGGTGACAAGTCGCGGCGGGGAGTCGCAGGGAGCATTTTCTTGATCCGCTTGGTGATGTTCTCCTCCACGGTACGTTCGGTGTTCGCGGAATCACTGCTATCACTGCTATCAGTCATTTTCTTAGCGGGGTCACCAGTATAGTACTTACGGCACAGGTATGTAAGAAAAGAAAAATAAAAGTTCGTTTCGGAAGAAAGACGAAATAAATTTAATACATAGAACACACATACACCAAAGAAAGTCAGTTAAAAAAGTACCACAAAGATAGAAGGAGCAAATAGGAAATGATAGCACAATAGATTAAAACAATTTACACAATACGAATAAATATTATTCGCGACACGACAACGCGTACGGAGCGGGGCGGTGGTTAGACGGGCGACACGAGTTACAAGCGCTGGCGTTCGTGGCCGACTAAAGCAAGCTGCGCTAGCGCATTCTTGTGGTTACAGCGGTGCGCCGCGCTCAAAGCAGAGGCGCCCGCGCGAGTAAGTGTTGTATAGTGGTGAATGTATGTATTTGTGTATATTTTTTTTTTTTTTTTTTTGGCATACATTATAAATATTGGTGTATGAGTAGGCTACATACTCTTGAATTTCCGTTTTATAACTGTAGTGTGGATTACGCTGGACCAGTATTGATAGCCGACAGAAAGGGTCGCGGTTGCAGGCTTGTTAAGTCGTACTTATGCATTTTTGTTTGCCTTGCCATAAAGGCAGTCCACTTGGAGCTGGTCACAAGAGAGGCTTTTCTCGCGACGTTGAGTATGTTTCTTTCTCGCAGCATCTTGTCTGATACCGGCACAAGCTTCGTCGGTGCATGTAATGAACTGGAAAGATTTGTTAGAGAGTCAAATGTGGCATTCGAAGTCGCGCAAAGGGGCATTGAATTTAAGTTCACACCACCGCATTTTAACGGCATCGCTGAGGCCGCCGTGAAATCAACAAAATATCACTTGAAACGTTTGCTAACTCACGTCCACTTTACTTATGAAGAAATGGCGACATGTTTAACTCACATAGAAGCTGTCCTCAACTCACGCCCACTAACTCCTTTATCATCCGACCCTCTTGATTATTCCGCACTCACTTCATCACATTTTTTTATTGGACGGTCACTAACTTCTCTTCCACATCCTTATACCATAGATATGCAGATTCAACAACTTGAACGATTTCAGAGAATTGAGCATATAAAACAACATTTCTGGAAACGCTTTCATGATGAATACGTTTCTTTGCTGCAGAGCATATTATAAGTCTGTCGTTTTCTTTAGTCTCCAGCAACATACATACAATTGTTAGAGAAAGAAACAAGGCAGATCCGAGGCGGAGTTACCAACCACCGCAGGAAGGGATACCAGTGGATGATTGGCAAGTACCTGGTCCATAACAAGAGCTGTAACCGAAATAGTGGGGGAAGAACCCGATTCCCCAGTAACCACAAAACTAACCTGACCATAAATTGATGTAACCCGATCACCACCAATTCCCTTTATAAAATTAAAGTCTCGTGAGATCGATAGGCCTAACTTCCTCACCAGTTCAATAGTAATGATGCAGCCCCGAGCCCCACTGTCCAGAAAGGCCCGCGCCTTAACTGTGGCTCCACCAGAGCCACTAACCAAAAAGGACACTGTGGGGAGAATAACCGTTTTTGAAAAGGCTGGACCTGGTGAGGAAGCCGCAAATACCTTTAATGTCTGAGAGGAACCGGTCCGAGCCGGAATTGAGGGGAGCCCCTGGTGGTTTGGCCCCCACATCCACAAATGAGCCTGAGAGGACAACCCATGATGCCTTGCCGACACTTGATTATTACCTTGCTCAATCAGAGGGGCGCGCGACTGCATCAGCGGCTGTTCCCAAATTATTTGTGCTACCCGAGCTGCGTAAGTTGCAGCTGAAATGTGGAACTCCACTTGATTCTCCGGTGCTTGCATATCAGCCCGGTGCGTGTAACCGATTTCTATGTTTGCTCTTGACGAACCATAAAAATCTCGATGAGAGGAGGAGGAGGGACCCCCGCCCCTGCGAGCATCCCGATGCTCATTTTGGGTACCCAAGCCCCTGCGAGAATCCCTGTGTTTCTCGGGGGTATACCCGGCGAACTGATCCTGAGGGGCACCCCCACCCCTGGGTGCATCTTAATGCACCGGGGAACGCCGACCCGATCAGCGATTCTTCTCCAGGGTGCGTCGACCTGACCGACGACCATTGGAGTTTCCACCACTACCACTCCCGAATCGGCAAAGTATAGCGTGATGTGGGCCATTACACTGGGCGCACTGTTAGATTGGACAGTCCGGCACTTTTAAAAAAAAACCACCACTGACTATCACAATTATTTATTTTATAACTCTACACAACTTTTGGCAACTTAATATAGACACAAACTTATATAACACCACTTAACACGGATTATACGCGTTTTTATTGGCCCCAGCGAAGGGCAGAATAGACCCAGAGTATATTATTGCTCTAGAATTCCTTGCTGAAAACCAACCAAGGTTAGGGAGTAGTCAGAGACCACAAATTATATCAGCACTAGAGAATAATAACTGACTAATTTAAGAAAAGGATTGGTATTTATAGTGTATTTATTACTGATCTGCAATGTTAAATTTACGTCATTTTGCTATTATTGCAAGTCAGCAATATTGTATTGCATTCCTATGCAATATCATCAAAATTAGGGATGTAACACCTCCCCCCTTTAAAACGAAACATCCGGCAATAGAAAAGGATGTAAGTATAATCCATGTAAGATAAAATTAAGATTAGAAATTGAGTTTACAATTTTTTTCTTAAATTATATTATATAGTTAGATTATCATAAAAATTAGAAATAGTAAACAAACCAAAATGCAAATAAAGAACCCAGAATTAAATTAAACATATTATCAAAATAAAAATAGAACCTATAGATTATATTATTACAATAACTCAAGATTACGTCTTGGAGTACTTAGATTGGAATCAGTACTTTCTGTATCATATTAACGTTTGGCCAGTTCAATGCTAGCTCTTGTGCGGATATTAGTGCTAGGTTTAGTCATACAATTATTAAAAATTTTGACACAACAAGAAGTACTGTTTCTATGTTTATTACAACAAACACATTTATAAAGTTTATAAGAGAAATAGGAGAATATAGAGACAGACAGTATGGTAGTAATAATGCTAAAATAGTAACTATAACTAATATGATATGGTTGAGTTTCAATTTTGGTCAAATCGTCATTGATTTGATTTAATCGGTGAGAAGCGTATTGTAATGAATCTAAATTTACATGTGTTAATTTGATAGAGCTCAGATGTGGTAAAGTATCATTTAATTTAAGTTTAGAGCAGCAATCATCTTCTATAATATTAAAATTAGGATGTGGAATATTGATTTTAGTTTCAAATTCTTGAGATGGAATGAATTGAAGTAGCTTGTGGTAAGAATTACAGTATTTAGGCAGGGTTAAAATACCTGTACCAACTATATCATAGTCATTTATAATGCCATTACAATTAATAGAGATTTTTGTAATATAAGATTGAACATAAATCCATCTATTATTTTTAAGTTTTTGCCATATATCTATTTCACCTACAATAAGCTTAAAATTACAAGAGTCTGGGATACCTTTCACATGTTCGGTTAAGATCGTCACTTCACAATTTGGATTTCCGACACTTGATTGTATATTACCTAATTTGCACAAATAATAATTGTTATTTATCACTTTGCACTCACTTAAGTCTTCTAACACGGAATAAATTAATTTATCTTGTGTCACTGCCAGGAATTTTGCGGTTGGATTAATTAAAGCGAAAGTATTAGGATTATTGATATCATGAGGAGTTGGTAAAGAGTATACGTGGTACAAGTTGTATTCTACAAAGGATACTAGAGGAATTCTGATTACAAAAATAAGTTTGTTGTCGTTAATGAAAGAAGATATTTCTGAGACATCTTAAATTGCGTGAATGTTACTAGGAGTCAAATGTAAAGGTAGGCTTAAAATAACATCGTTACTTTTCGAATTCAATTCATTTTACAATCGCATGGGACTTAGTACAGAAGGATGAACAATATTTTGTTTACCGAATAAAATAGCATCAATAAGGTCTTCTAAATTAAAATTAAGAATCCTTAAAAGCTAATTTAATTTCGTCAAAATGATATCTAACGTGTCTACGATTGATTAAAAGAGTGACATTATTATTGCTATGTACTTTAATTATTTTATATGGACCTTTCCAGATACTAGAAAGAGCTTTACGCAGTCTGTGATGGTGCTCCACACACACCATATCTCCAACCTTATAAGAAATGTCTCTAGTGTTTTTATCATGATATTTTTTTGAAGTTTCTTTACTACGGAGGATATTTTCTCTGGCTATATTTCTGGTATTGATTAGCTTTTGTTTTAGCGTTTTAACATAATCAGGATAGGTTGCTGTTGGGTCAATATCGTAGATAGAACTAGGTAGATGAGGTTTTCAACCAAACAACAACTCATGAGGTGTGAAATTAGTAGAAGAATGTACAGAAGAATTGTAAGAAATAATAGCTGTTGGAAGATATTTGTGCCAATCATCTTGATTATCGTTGACATAGGACTTTAAATATTCTTTTAAAGTGGCATGAATTCGTTCAAGAGCCCCATTAGTTTGAGGATGATATGGAGTTTAAAAGAGATGTTTAATTTTAAATAGAGATGTGATTTGTTTATATACTTCTGCAATGAAATGAACACCTTGATCAGATAATAGAGTTTTGGGAATGCCGAAGTGACAGATAAATTTAATTAAACAATTAGCTGTTTGTTCAGCCGTTGAGTTAGTAATAGGATAGGCCATGGAATATTTTGTCAAATCATCTTGAAAAGTAACTATATATTTATATCTTTCAGAACCGGATTCGGGTAAAGGACCAACAATATCAGTAGATACTCTTTGGAGAGGTTCGAGAGAAGTAGAAGTTATTTCCATTAGAGCTTTATTACAGGCGCGTAGAGCTTTATTTTGTTGGCAAAGTGGACAGCGTTTAATATACGATTCAATATCGTTTTTCATACCTTTCCAGTAGTATTCCTAATTTATTATATAACCGCGATGAACCAATATGTCCGCCGATAGGCGAGTCATGATTATCTTTCAATATTGTAGGAACTTCGTTAGGGGTTGGGTAAATTATTTTATTATGATATATGTTTACGGTGATATTAGTGTTATGGAAAATAAAACAAATGATTTCATAGATCATTAAAAATTGAAGCCTGTCAAATGGATTGGAAAAATCAGACATAGAGATTTCTTTTACATCAGGATGAAATATAATTAATTCATTACGAAGATTGTTTAAAACGTTAAATATGTCTCTGTAATTACAAGAGTCATAATGATGTACTTTAGTAAACATGTGAAAATATGTTTTATTATTAATATTGGAAGTTTTTACAGAATATAATTCCTTTTCAGAGTTTTTAAAGACTTCTACGTTATCTAAAAGGTTAATTATTTTTTCACAGTAAGGGTTAGAAGAATCTAGATCGATTGATGTCGGATAAGCAATAGTATTGCAGGATGTCTTCAAAAGACTTTGATTGAATTCGTGAACTACAGTAGTAAAAACCATTGGACTAGAACGAGATCGAAGGAAATTTCCATAACTTATATCATTACTAAGATCTATATCATCAATATTATATATGGGAGGACGAGATAAGGCATCAGCATTAAGATTTGTTTTACCGGACTTATAAACGATTTCGTAGTCATATTCTTCTAATTTAAGTCTCCATCGAACTAGTTTACTTGAGGGATCTTTACAATTAAAAAGCCAAACAAGATGATGGTGGCCAGTTACTATTTAAACTTTCTACCGTAGATATAAGGTCGAAAAGTTTTGAAACCAAACAAGATTGCTAGAAGTTCTTTCTCGGTGGTACTATAATTACCTTTTGCTCTATTAAGAGTTCGAGAAGCATATGCAATAGGGAGATCTTTGCCCATTTCGCCCTGTGAAAGAATTGCACCTAAGGCATAATTTGAAGCATCTGTTGTAAGTATAAAATCCTTCGAGAAATCAGGATATTGAAGAATGGGAGCACTTGTTAACATAGACTTAAGAGTATTAAAAGCATTTTCTTGATTTTGAGTCCAATCGAAAGTAGAATCTTTACGAAGTAATGAAGTTAGAGGTTTTGTAATTTTAGAGAAATCCTTTATGAATCTTCTATAATATCCTATCAGGCCAAGGAAGGATTTTATTTCCTTCGGGTTTCTGGGAGTAGGATAGTTTGATACGGCTTTTACCTTGTCGGGGTTAGGAGATACGCCTTTATCGGTAATAGTATGACCTAAATATGCGACTTCCCGTCTTAGGAACTCACACTTATCTGGCTGTAACTTAAGATTATGCTTTCTAAGAGCCTCGAATATGAGTTTAAGTTTATCTATGTGAGAAGAGAGTGAGTGAGAATAGCAGATGATGTCATCCAAATATATGAAGCAGTGGAGACCTTGGAGACCGGAAAGCACGGTATTCATCAATCTTTGGAAAGTGGCAGGTGCATTTTTTAACCCAAAAGGCATTCGAGTATATTCGAAGTGGCCATTAGGGACCGAAAAAGCAGTTTTGGGAGCATCTTCTGTGCTCATACCAATCTGGTGGAAACCTGACACCAGGTCTAACGTACTGAAGTACTTACTATGACCTAATTGATCTAGGATCTCTATAATATTAGGAATAGGATAAGCGTCTCCGACAGTAATGTCATTCAGTTTTCTATAGTCTACGACAATACGCCATTTCTTTTGGCCAGAAGCATCTTGCTTCTTTGGTACCACCCAAATAGGAGAAGACCAGGGGGAATCAGAGGGTTTTATTATGTTTTGATCTAGCATTTTCTTTATTTGTTTGTTGAGTTCTTCTTTATGACATTCG